CCAGTGGCGGACCTGCTCGGGGGCGGGCGCGGGCGCGGGGCTGTGCCCGATCCAGGCGCGGCACACGGGGTACAGGGGGGTCCCGGCCGGGAACTGCCCCAGCTCCACGCTGCGGTCAAAGAGGCGGATCACGAACGAGTCTGGGCAGAAAACGGGGCAAAAACAGCAAAATTCGGGAAAATTCACCCCGGAAATGGACTCGGCGCCCCGAAAAACCCCAAAATCAGCCCAGAAACCCCAAAAACCACCCGGAAATCCCAAATAACCCAAATAACCCCAAAACCCCAAAAAACCGCCCAGAAACCCCAAAAACCCCAAAACCCACCAAAAATAATCTCAAAATCGTCCAAAAATGGGAAAATTCACCCCAAAAATGGACTCGGCACCCCGAAAAACCCCAAAATCAGCCCAGAAACCCCAAAAACCCAAAAATAAACCCAAAAATCCCAAAGAGGCGGATCACGAACGAGTCTGGGCGAAAAACGGGGCAAAAACACCAAAATTTGGGAAAATTCACCCCGAAAATGGACTCGGCGCCCCGAAAAACCCCCAAAACCCCAAATAAACCCAAAAATCGCCCCAAAAAACCCCAAAAATGAGCCCAGAAACCCCCAAAACCCAAAATAAACTCAAAAATCCCAAATCACCCCAAAACCCACCAAAAAGAACCCCAAAATCATCCCAAAAATGGGAAAATTCACCCCAAAAATGAGCTCGGCACCCAAAAAACCCAAAAACCACCCAGAAACCACCCGGAAATCCCAAATAACCCAAATAACCCCAAAACCCCAAAAAACCGCCCAGAAACCCCAGAACCCACCAAAAATAACCCCAAAATCATCCCAAAAATGGGAATATTCACCCCAAAAATGGACTCGGCGCCCTGAAAAACCCCAAAATCACCCCAGAAACCCCAAAAACAACCCAAAAATGAGCCCAAAAACCCCAAAAACCACCCGGAAATCCCAAATAACCCAAAAACTCCAAAAAACCACCCAGAAACCCCAAAACCCACCAAAAATAACCCCAAAATCATCCCAAAAATGGGAAAATTCACCCCAAAAATGAGCTTGGCGCCCCAAAAAACCCGAAAATAAACCCAAAAAACCCCAAAAAGCGCCAAAAAATCCCAAATAACCCCAATATAAACCCAAAAATGGGAGAATTCACCCCAAAAATGGAGAAAATCATCCCAAAATTGGGAAAATGGAACAAAAATGGGAAAATTCACCCCAAAAATGGGAAAATCCTCCCAAAAATCGGCAAAATCCTCAAATTTTGGGACAGAATTCCCAAATATTGGTGGAAAGTCCCATTTTTTTTTTGTTTTTTTGCCCCAGAATTCCCAGTTTTTTTTGGGATTCCCAGATTTTCCCCCAGAATTCCTGGATTTTTTCAAAATTGCCATTTTTTAGCCCAGAATTCCCAAATTTTTTTTGAATTCCCGAATTTTGGCCCAGAATTCCCGGATTTTTTGGGAATTTCAGTCTCACTCTAGTTTTGGGTGAGAATTCCCAGATTTTGGCACAGAATTCCCAGATTTTTTCTGAATTCCCCTTTTTTGTCCCAGAATTCCCAAATTTTGGCCCCAGAATTCCCGGATTTCTGTGATAATTCCCAGATTTTTTCAGAATTCCCATTTTTTTCCCCCAGATTTCCCAAATTTTGGCCCGGAATTCCCAGATTTTTTTGGAATTCCCAAATTTGGGCCCAAAATTCCCCAATTTTGGCCCAGAATTCCCATTTTTTTTTCTGAGAATTCCCGGATTTTTTTGGAATTTCAGTCTCACTCTATTTTTGGGTGAGAATTTCCAGATTTTGACTCAGAATTCCCGGATTTTTTTTTGGAATTCCCAAATTTTGCCCCAGAATTCCCAGATTTTTTTTGGAATTCCCTTTTTTTTGCCCCTGAATTCCCAAATTTTGGCCTGGAATTCCCAGATTTCTCTGGAATTCCTGTCTTTTGGCTCAGAATTCCTGGATTTTTTTTTTTGGAATTCCCATTTTTTTGCCCCAGAATTCCTAGATTCTGATTCAGAATTGCCAAGTTTTTTTGGAATTCCCATTTTTTTCCCCACAATTCCCATTTTTTCCCCCAGAATTCCCATTTTTCCTTCCAGAATTCCCAAATTTTTTTGGAATTCCCATTTTCCCTCCACAATTCCCATTTTTTTCCCCCACAATTCCCATTTCCCCCCAGAATTCCCAATTTTTTTTTTGAATTCCCATTTTTTCGCCCCAGAATTCCCAAATTTTTTTTGGAATTCCCATTTTTTCCCCCACAATTCCCATTTTCCCCCCAGAATTCCCAAATTTTTTTGGAATTCCCATTTTTTTCCCCAGAATTCCCGTTTTTCCCCCCAGAATTCCCATTTTTCCCCCCAGAATTGCCAAATTTTTTGGGAATTCCCATTTCCCCCCCACAATTCCCATTTTTCCCCCCAGAATTCCCAATTTTCTTTTTGAATTCCCATTTTTTCCCCCCAGAATTCCCATTTTTCCCCCAGAATTCCCAAATTTTTTTGGAATTCCCATTTTTTCCCCCCAAATTCCCGTTTTCCCAGGATTTTCCTGGGATTTTCCGGGATTTCCCGGGATTTTCCGGTATTTTTCCGGTATTTTCCGGTATTTTCCGGTATTTCCCGGTTTTTCCCGGGATGTCGCTCACTCTGTCTCGGGGGGGGCGTCTCGGGCCCCTCCCCCCCCTCCCTCCTCTTCTTGCGGCGCTGCTGCGGGAAGCGCCCGGGCGGCCTCGGGAACAGCGGGAAAACAGCGGGAAAACAACGGGAACAGCGGGAAAACAACGGGAAAAACACGGGAAAACAGCGGGAAAACAACGGGAAAAACACGGGAAAACAGCGGGGAAAACAACGGGAAAACAGCGGGGAAAACACGGGGAAAACAGCGGGGAACAGCGGGGAAACAACGGGAAAAACAACGGGAAAACACCGGGAAAAACAACGGGAAACAGCGGGAAAAACAACGGGAAAAACAACGGGAAACAGCAGGAAAAACGCGGGAAAAACAGTGGGAAAAACACCGGGGAAAACAACGGGGAAACACAGGGAAAACAACGGGGAAAACAACGGGAAACAGCGGGAAACAGCGGGAAAAACATGGGAAAACACGGGAAAACAACGGGAAAACACGGGAAAACACGGGAAAAACAACGGGAAAAACAACGGGAAAACAACGGGAAAACAACGGGAAACAACGGGAAAAACAACGGGGAAAACAACAGGAAACAGCGGGAAAAACAACGGGAAACAACGGGAAACACAACGGGAAAAACAACGGGAAACAACGGGAAAAACAACGGGAAACAGCGGGAAACAACGGGAAAAACAACGGGAAAAACACCGGGAAACAACAGGAAACAATGGGAAAAACAATGGGAAACAACGGGAAAACACCGGGAAAAACACGGGAAAAACAGCGGGAACAATGGGAAAAACAACGGGGAAAACAACGGGGAAAACACGGGAAACAACGGGAAACACCGGGGAAAACACGGGAAAAACACCAGGAAAAACAACGGGAAACAACGGGAAAAACACCGGGAAAAACACCGGAAACAACGGGAAAAAACGGGAAAAACGGGAAAAACAACAGGGAAAAACGGGGAAAACACCGGGAAAAACAACAGAGAAAAAATGGGAAAAAACGGGGAAAACACCCGAGAGTGAGAGAAATGGCAGGAAAAGAGAGGGGAAAAACGGGAAAAACGGGAAAAACACGGGAAAAACGGGAAAACATGGAAAAGTGACAGAAACAGCGGGAAAAGAGAGGGAAAAATGGGAAAAAAGGGGAAAAAACGGGCAAAAAACCAGGAAAAACACGGAAAAACATGGAAACGTGAGAGAAATGGTGGGAAAAGAGAGGGAAAAATAGGAAAAAACAGGAAAAAAGGGGGAAAAATGGGAAAAACACGGGGAAAAAAGGGGAAAAATGGGAAAAAATGGGAAAGTGAGAGAAAGGGTTGGAAGAGAGAGGGAAAAGGGGAAAAAAACCGGGAAAAATGGGGAAAAAACGGGAAAAAATGGGAAAAAATGGGAAAAAACAGAATTTTAAGGGAATTTTAAGGGAATTTTTGGGAATTTGGGCAACTTTGGGGAGTTTTTGGGAATTTGGGAATTTTGGGGGAATTTTTTAGGGAATTTTCTGGGATTTGGGGAATTTTAAGGGAATATTTGGAAATCTGGGGAATCTTTGGGGGATTTTTTTGGAATTTTTGGGTATTTGGGGAATTTTTAGGGGAAATTTTAGGGGAATTTTTAAATGGAATTTTTCAAAATTTGGGGAATTTTGGGGGAAATTTCTAAAGGAATTTTTGGGAATTTTGGGGGATTTTTTTTTTAATGGAATGTTTGGGAATTTGGGGAATTTTGGGGGAATTTTTTTAGGGAATTTCGGGGAATTTTAAGGGAATTTTGGGGAATTTTGGCCTCTCACCTCTTCCCGGGGGCGCTGGGCGAGGCCTCCCTGCAGAAAATTTGGGAATTTTGGGACCTGGGAGGGGAAATTTGAGATCCCCCCTCCCAAAATCCCAAATGTTGGGGTCCCTGAATCCCCCAAATCCCAAATTTCCCTCCCAAATCCCGAATTTTGGTCCCAATTCCCGAATTTTGTTCCCAATTCCCAAATTTTGTTCCCAATTCAAAAATTTTGTTCCCAATTCCCAAATTTTGTTCCCAATTCCTGAATTTTGGGCCCCAATTTCTGAATTTTGTTCCCAATTCCCGAATTTTGGTCCCAATTCCCGAATTTTGTTCCAAATTCCCAAATTTTGGTCCCAATTCCCAAATTTGGGTCCCAATTCCCGAATTTTGTTCCCAATTCCCAAATTTTGGTCCCAATTCCCGAATTTTGTTCCCAATTCCCAAATTTTGGTCCCAATTCCAAATTTTGTTCCCAATTCCCGAATTTTGGGTCCCAATTCCCGAATTTTGGGTCCCAATTCCTGAATTTTGGTCCCAATTCCCAAATTTGGGTCCCAATTCCCGAATTTTGTTCCCAATTCCCAAATTTTGTTCCCAATTCCCAAATTTTGGGCCCCAATTCCCGAATTTTGTTCCCAATTCCCAAATTTTGTTCCCAATTCCCAAATTTTGGGTCCCAATTCCCAAATTTTGTTCCCAATTCCCAAATTTTGGGTCCCAATTCCCAAATTTTGGTCCCAATTCCCGAATTTTGGTCCCAATTCCCGAATTCCGGGTCCCAATTCCCGAATTTCGCTCCCAATTCCCAAATTTTGTTCCCAATTCCCGAATTTTGGGTCCCAATTCCCGAATTTTGGTCCCAATTCCCAAATTTTGGTCCCAATTCCCGAATTTTGGGTCTCAATTCCCAAATTTTGTTCCCAATTCCTGAATTTCGTTCCCAATTCCCGAATTTTGGTCCCAATTCCCGAATTTTGTTCCCAATTCCTGAATTTTGTTCCCAATTCCCGAATTTTGGTCCCAATTCCCAAATTTTGGTCCCAATTCCCGAATTTCGCTCCCAATTCCCGAATTTTGGTCCCAATTCCCGAATTTTGGGTCTCTCACTTGGCCGGGGTCTCTCCGGGTCCCTTTCCCGGCTCCTCCTCCAGCGGCTCCCTGGGAAAACCCAAAAATATCCAAAATCACCCCAAAAATCACCCCAAAAACACCCAAAATAATCCCAAAAATCACCCAAAAAATACCCAAAATATCACCTGAAATATCACCCCAAAAATACCCAAAATAATCCCAAAAATCACCCCAAAATTACCCCAAAAATACCCAAAATAATCCCAAAAATCACCCCAAAAATACCCAAAATATCACCCGAAATATCACCCACAAATACCCAAAATCACTCCAAAAATCACCCCAAAATACCCAAATTCACCCCAAAATTCACGCCAATAATACCCAAAATCACCGCAAAAATCACCCCAAAAATACCCAAAATAATCCCAAAAATCACCCAAAAAATAACCAAAATATCACCCAAAAAATAACCAAAATAACCCCAAAAATACCCCCCAAAAATACCCAAAATCACCCCAAAAATCACTCCAAAAATACCCAAAATGTCACCCGCAAAATACCCAAAATAATCCCAAAATATCTCCCAAAAATCACCCGCAAAATACCCAAAATTACCCCAAAAATAACTCCAAAAATACCCAAAATCACCCCAAAATAACCCCCAAAAAATACCCAAAAATAACCCAAAATAGCCCCAAAATCCTCCAAAAAATACCCAAAACCCCCCAAAAAATGCCCAAAAAAACCCCAAAAACGCCTCCCAAAAGTCCCCAAATCCCCCAAAATCCCCCAAAAATTTCCCCAAAACTGCCAAAATTCCCCCCAAAATCCCCCAAATTTGCCAAATCCCGCCAAAATTCCCCAAATTCCCCCAAAACCCAAATTCTTCCCAAAATCCCAATGAAATTCCCCAAAATCCCCACAAAAAAATCCGAAATTGCCCCAAAATTTCCCCAAATCCTCCAAAATTCTCCAAAAATTCCCCAAATTTCCCCCAAAATTCCCAAATTTGCCCAAAACTCCCCAAAAAATCCACAAAATTCCCCCAAAACCCCCCAAAATTCTTCCAAAATCCCCCAAATTTCCCCCAAATTCCCTGGAAATCCCCAATGAAATTTCCCCAAAATTCCCCTAAAAAATCCACAAAATTCTTCCAAAACTCCCTAAAATTCCCCAAAAATTCCCAAATTTTCCCCAAATCCACCCAAATTCCCCCCAAAATTCCCCAAAGTTCCCCCAAAATTCCCAAATTTGCCCAAAATTCCCCCCAAATTTTCCAAAATCCCCCCAAAATTCCCTTAAAAAATCCACAAAATTCCCCCAAAATTCCCTGAAAATTCCCCCAAACTCCCCCAAAATCCCCAATTTTTCCCGAAAATTCACCCAAGTCCCCCCAATATTCCCAACTTTTCCAAAATTGCCCCCAAATTTCCCAAAAAATCCACAAAATTCCCCCAAAACCCCCCAAAATTCCCCAAATTTCCCTGAAATTCCCAAAATTCTGCCAAAATTCCCCCAAAAACATCCCCAAAATCCCCCAAATCCTCCAAAATGCCCCAAAAAATCCCAAATTTTCCCCAAAATTCCGCCAAAATTTCCCTGGAAATCCCCAGTGAAATTCCCCATTTCGCCCCCAAAATCCCCTAAAAAAATCCCCAAAATTCCCTGAAAATTCCCAAAACTCCCCAAATTCCCAAATCCCCCCAAAAATTCCCCAAATTTCTCCCAAAATTCCCAAATTTGCCCAAAACTCCCCCCAATTTTTCCAAAATTCCCCCAAAAATCCCCCCAAAATTCCCCTAAGAAATCCACAAAATTCCTTGAAAATTCCCTGAAAATTCCCCCAAAATCCCCCAAATTTTCCCCAAAATTCGCTGGAAATCCCCAAAATTCCCTGAAAATTCCCAAAATTCCCCAAAATCCCCCAAAATTCCCCAAAACTCCCTAAAATCCCCCAAAATCCCCCAAAACTCCCTAAAATCCCCCAAAATTCCCCCAAAATCCCCCCAAATCCCCAT